AATTTTGACATAAATGCCGAGATAAACAAACAAGGATGAGAATGAAAGTTAATAAAATAAAGCGCTAAATGTAATAAGAAGAAAATTAAAGAAACACAACAAATACCAAGGAACTGACTTGATTTCATTTGAAAACTGAAAGACTACAATGGTGATTAACTAGTGACCAAAATGAAAAATTCTAAAACGTAAAGAATGGCAGAGGGGATTCCACCCTACGCTTAAAAAAATGGCGGCAACGCTTTGATTTCATTAGACTTTAATCAAGTTTAATGAAACCCTAAAATCATGTTATGTTACTAGGTATAAAAAACTGACCGGACCTGTAAAACTGACTGAAATCGACTCAAGTCAAAACTGTTTTGACTTGCGCTGCAGCAATCCGAAACCGACTCAAGTCAAAACTGGTGTTGACCTGAACCCGAGTTGGACTTGGAAATTGTGAATCTGAATCCGACCTGCACCCGACCTGATAACTACCTGAACCCGAATTGAACCGAAAATATGATACATGAACCCGACCTGCATCTACTGATATGAACCCGAACCCGAGATTGACCTGATAAATAACTGGTAGTACCCGACCTGTTTTCAACATGACATGTTATGAACCTGACCTGCAAATGATCCGACTTGTTATTGATTTGATCTGATATTTACCTAACTTGACATTTACCTGACTTATATATCACCATTGATGAAATATAAGATTTTAATAAAATTGTGAGATTTTGAGTTTGTAATAAATCATACTAATTAATATGATTAATTTTTAAATGTTATAATAAAATATTAATTATGATAATTAAATTAATAAATATATTTAATATATTTGCTTCGGACCTGAACTGTTTGACTTAAACTGACATCGATCCGAATTGAAAATGACCTAACATGAACCCGATCTAGATCTAGTGTCAAATCAACCTGAAAATAACCCGAACTGATTTGACATGACCTGAACTCGATCTGGATCTGGTGTCAAATCAACCTGAGTTGACATGTATCTGATTTTACCCGACCTACCAAGATCCGACTGAAACTTGTCCGATTACCTGATTTTACAACCTTATATGTTACCCTTCCCCCCCCCCCTCTCTCTCATTCTCTCTCCATCTCATCCTCTCCGTTTTCTTTTCTTGTTTCTCCTAAAATAGAGCTACCCTCTCCCATTTCCTCATTTTTTTTCTTACAAGAGAAAACCTGAAATGAAAAACCCTAAACAGAAAACTACCATGGTAATTGGTCCCAAACAAACTATGGCGCGTAGGAGAGATGAAAAGTTTATCTTGTATTCCACGCGCCGAATATGGTTCGTTGGATGGAATTGGATATGGAATGGCTCGTCAATCTGGGTCGTTGATCTTATGTGGGTTTCTATATGTTTGGGTCGCTTGCTGGGTCAGGCGAGCTCACCCACTGGACTCCCCTTTGGACTGTTACCTTGGGTCTGGAATGTGGACTAAACATTGGACTTTTGGACATGGACAAGTTAACCTGAAATTCATAATAAAAGAAAATAAATTATTAATAATAATTAAGCCTAAATAAAAAATTATATATAATAAAAATTATATTTTATGCGAAACATATTAATATAATAATAATATTTGTTTTCAAAATTTATATATGAATGGTATATTTGTTTCCAAAATTATATAATATATGTATATACTATTTTTTAAAAAACTATATGATATATTATATATTACTATTTTCAAAACTATAGTATATACTTATATATTTTCAAAACTATATAGTATATTTATATATATTAAAAATATATATAATATAATATGATATACTACTTTTTTATTTTTAAAACTATATATATTATAAAAATATTATATAATATATACTTTATTATAATATAAGAGAAAAACCGAAATATCTCCAGACAAATTGGTATGTACAATGCAGATTGAGCAGCATCTGTTGAAGATAGATGCTCGACAACAGGATATTGTATCTATCTTGGCGGTAATCCTGTGGCATGGTGTTCTAAAAAACAGGGTGTTGTGTCACGATCGACCTCGGAAGCTGAATGCCAAAGTATTGTAAACACAGTTTCCGAGTTGGTTTGGTTAGAACAATTTCTGGCAGAAATTGGTGTTGAAGTTGTAGACAAACCAGTTGTTTGGTGTGATAATTCGTCTACAGTCTCCATGGTAATTAACCCCACTCACCATGCTCGAGTTAAGCATGTCGAGATTGATGTCTCTTTGTTCGCGAGAGGGTGTTGTCCGGGCAGCTGCTGGTTAATTTTGCCCCTTCGTCCGAGCAGGTGGCAGATATTCTCGCAAAGCCTATTCCGCCGTCTCAGTTTGACAAGCTGCGTCGACAGCTGGGGGTGGTCACAGCTTCAATTTTGGAAAAGAAATAAACGAGGAAGATATCAAGTATTAAAGCTATAGAATATAGTGCTGTTAAACGGTTACAAGTTGTTAGGTCGTTGGGTATTTTGTTGTGGGTCATTCAATTGTAATCTGGGCTATTGGGCTTTTACACGTAGGGATTATGATGGCTTGGGTTAGGGTTATTGATCAATTCGATCTGACTCGAAAATATGTATCTTCTACCAAAATTCAACCTAATACGAAAATTGTATATCTTCCATCCGATCCGAAAAATATATATCTTTCACTCAACTTCAACTTGATCCATATTTTTAGAGTATAAATTTGACCCACCCAACCTTATATAAAATAAGGACTTAATTAAATAATAATATTTTAAAAAAAATTACATTATTATCCTCGAGTCGACCGGACCGGATTTTTCACTCTCCACCTAAATCTGACCCGACTTGACCTCACCCTTTAAAAAAATCAAATATGACCTGATCTGACCCAAAATTTTTAAAAATATGATTTTATCGAATCGAATCGAATCGAGTCGAACCGAAACCAATCAATTTCGAGTTAAATTATTATCAAAACCTCCCATAAGTTCATAACCTACAAACTGAGAAGATTATAAATACAATTTCAAACCTCTTAGGAGATTTATCTACAACTACATAGATAAAATCAACAGCAACAAGAATTAATTAAAAATATTCTCTAAAGTGTTAATATCATGATAACAGTGACGGATTCACGAAATGTTTAGGGTAGATAATTATTTATTTTATTAGTTGTGTTCATTCTGAAATTTTATGTGCTCACCTCTAAAAAAATTACAATATTAATATATATATGTCTACCCTAAAAATATTTCTAGATCTATCACTGTCTTTGACATCAATCACAAAAGATCGATATATAAACTCTTATGCACCTCAAGAAACGAAACTTTTATTCTCTTTTTTTTTTCCGATTGATTTACTCTCCACCTCAAAGACTCTTTCACTTTTACATTATCGGTTTCTTTTTCTTTTAAATGTTTTTGTTGGATACTCTCTATATAACTTTTCTTTATCTCCTTATCATTAACTTCACCGACTAACGATTATTTGATCACTAATTATGATTTTCATATAAATTAAAAGAGATGAACCGTCTACAATCATCATGATCTATTTATATCATCAATAAATTGCCATTGATTTTCTTATGATTTTTTATTTTTGATGGATTGATTATGAAAATTATATAACAGTAATAATATCTCACACTTAGAATCTTAATTATTCTATGTTTTAATTTTATATTATATAGCTTAAATTTTTGCTTTATGTTTCATGTTTTAAGTAATCTTAATTATCCAGTCAGCCGTCTTTAGAGTTTTACCTTTATCATTCATCAAAACCATCAATCTTCATAAGAATCATAACCCTAACTCAAAACTACTATACCAGATAAATCATATTAGCAATGGCAACTCTAAGGCTTAACTCACTGACAGGAACCTGGGGAAAGATCCCAACATCATCATTTATTTCAAATCCAAGCATGTTGTTGCCTTCATTTCGCTGTCACAAAAAAAGGGTTTTAAGAATAATGACTGTAAATGCCATGGGACGAGGAGGAGGAGACAAGTATAAAGGGACACAAATGAAGGAGAAAAAGTTACTGAGATGATTGAGAAGAAAGTGACAGAAGCTAAGCATATGTGAAGGAGATGAGACATCTGAAGAGTGCAAAGTAGCTTGGGATGAAGTTGAAGAGGTCAGTCAAGCCAAAGCTGATCTAAGGCTCAGACTTGAACTTGAAAAGAAAGATCCTTTAGTATCTTTCTGACAGGAAAACCTAGAGATTGAAGAGTGTAAGGGTTTATGAAGATTGATGAAAAAAACCTTGTTTTATCAGTGTTCATGGGGTTATTGTTGTTATGAATCTGTATGTTAAGCTATTTTTCTTTTCTGATTTTCAGTCAAAGCTCCTTTTATGTTGTAAAAACCTTGTGGCGTCAACTAGGGATTCTATTTTTACTCTAACTAAAACATGAAATCAATAGATTTTTAGATCTCCATCAGAATCTGCTAAATTTTGGACTCATCTGTCCATAATATCCATTGTTCCATCTAGGATCTTATTTTTCTTATAAATTTTGGACTCATCTGTCCATCATATCCATGCTTTCATACAACTATGTTCCATCTTAGATCTTATTTTTCTTACAAATAAACTAGTCATTTTTACCACAGACTACTTGCTGGCATTCATTTATGATCAAATTATAAGGTTTTTTTTTATAGGAATTGTAGGCCTCGTTAAAAACATCCTTCTTGATTAAAGGAGTTTGTAGAAAAGCTCATTAATCAGCGGAAGGAGGAAAAGAGTGCCTTAAGATTTCATTAACCAAAAGAACCAAAGGATACAACCATAATCACCTCCCTCAACAAAAACAAAAACCCAAAACAGTCGGCATAAACCCTATACAACACCACTAACACAACGAAATCCATAAGAACAACAGTCACAAAAATGACTGACCAGACTTAACACCTGAACTAATCCCGAATAACACATAACAAAACAACTAAAGCAGAAGCCGAAAACACAGCAGACACAATAAGTAAATAATGCTAATACATAATATAACGTAGCATAATCATATATTAGAAGAAAGCTCCATTTATAGCCTAAAAGATAGTAGTACAATGGAGCTTAAAATACATAAGCAATACATTGGACATCAGTACTACTGCAAAATGATATAACCCAAGTAACAAGTAGAATGCCAAAACAGTGAACAGTAGGTTCATAAAAAAAGAAAGAAGATACGAGGAGCTTACACTCAGCCACTGTCTTCATCAGGCCCGGCAGCTTCCTTGACATCAACATTGAAGTTATACTCCTGGTCACAACCTAGGTAAGAATCACACATGAAATACAAAGTGTACGTCTTCTCTGCAGCTTCTGTGGGAGCGGCAAATTCAAGCTTCACCTTCGCCTTCCTCTGAAGAGACACCCTTTTTATAGCAAGCAGCTGGTCACTCTTGGTGTCACCAACAACCAACCACCACCCTTCGTCTTTTGCTTTTGGGTACCTGGGAGAATCAACGGGTCCAACCTCTGTCTTCCCCTCTAGATCCCTTTCAAGGGTAACCTGCAAGGTGACATATTCCCTAGCCCTCACATTCTCGCTGTCAAGCACATCGTACGATAAATCAATGTTGGGGAAACGATTGCAGAACTTTGCAATGTCCAACAGCTGCAAGTCAGACATCTGTAACAGCTCATGCCTCTCATCATCTTCCATCTCCACCAAATCAAAAATAGTTTCTATGTTCTTGCCAGGGTTCTCTTGGCATCTCTTGGCTCGTTCCTTAGTGAAGTGTGGGAGCTGTAGAAGCATTGAATCTCGCTCCCACATACCTTGTGTCACCATTTGGCTCACCTCCATTGCGAGGAGAGCAAGGCTCAACCAGCCATTGCTCGAAATAACATCAACCATAGCTTGAAGCAGCCTAGTAGCATACAATAGCACCTCTCGCTGGTCTAGTGATAGGTTCCCACCCACAAGCTGCCTAGAGAAGTGGGCTTGAAGCAGAGCATTTGCTTTGACATGTGGATCAGTGAACCTGGGGTTTTCAAAGGAAAACCGCTGGTGATTAATTAATCTTCGAAGAACCTCTTCTTCCCCAGGTCGTATAGGAAGATTTGCATACTCAGAAGCCGAGGCCAGAATCTCCAGAAGACCCTTCATCTTTGTTTTGGAAGTCAAAGACGAACTGAAGCGCTCAATGGTAGTGTAACTGATGTAATAGTAAGAGGCTATCATGCCAAGATTCAAAGGAGAAAGATCCATGTCATCCTCTATAGTAATACATTTACTTGCTTCCAAATCATTTAATGTGTTCTCAACAAGCTCTGAAAGGTGATCAGAGAGATGTCTGTGACTTACTCCCTGGAGATTGTAGTAATTTGGATTTTGAGTGAGCCTCCTATACATGAAAGTCCATGTAAGATAATCAACAGCATCTTGCTTGTTCTCAATAACTGTCGCAACAATTTCTGCATTGAAGTTGTCATGTAGAAAATGGTGCAAATGGCTTTCAACAGGGAATGCTTCATACAAGAACTTCTTGTAATACTCTTTACGAGGAGCATGACAGAGGATTACACATTTGCCAGAATTATCAAGAAGAGGACGACTTGCATGGCCCATCATCTGCAACAAATCTGTAACTGGGTAATCAGTGTGAGCATTCTCCCTCCCATCGTAATACTGTGTACCCATTACAACCACCAAGTGTGCTGATAATGGAACTCCCCAACATAAAGCACTGCTCATAACACAAGCCTGAATCCACCCAGCTTCAAAGAGCTGGGAAACAACTTCCTGATCCAAACTGCTTAAACCCTCATGCAAGTAGCCAACTCCATGTTCTAGAGTGGCTCTCAATGTTTCTTCGCTAATCTTGTCAACAAAAGGCTTAAGTTCGTCAGCAGATCGCAACCGGAAAGCAGGCTCCTCTTCATTATCCACTCTGGAGTAACTCATTAGGTCCACAGCAGTGAGTCTAACATGCTTCCTTGTAGGAACAAACACAATAGCTGGCTTCCCTCCTTTGGCATGTTGGACAATAGCAGTGTAAGTGGGTTTAGTCATCGCTTGCATCCTTGCTTCAAAATTGGCTATATCCACGCCTTGAATGTGTATTTCTAGTGGTACAGGACGAACTCCAGGTGGGAAATTGAAAAGGCCGTGAGATGTTGCTCCAATCCATTCTCCAAGGTCCTTAGCATTTGCAAGAGAAGTTGAAAGAGCCACAATCCGGATCTTCTTCTCAACCTGACTAGCAATATATCTCATCCTGGAGACGATCACCTCTAACACTGTACCACCTTGACCACCAATCAAGTGAAGTTCATCAACAATGAAAAGACTGACCTGCTGAACATACTTCCTCTGTTTCCAGCGACGAGAAAGGGCATCCCATTTCTCAGGAGTACTGATGATCACTTGACCTTTCTCAAGCAACTTCAGATCCATTGCCAATTCCCCAGTCAACTCAACCACCCGCATCCCAAGACCCTTGCCAAATTTCCTCTCCCAATCACGATATCGCTCCTTCGCAATAGCTTCAAGAGGTGCAATATAAACTACTCGCATTGTACTGTCTGGTCCTTTTTGATGGTTCCTTAATATAGCAAACTCAGCACAGATGGTCTTCCCACTCCCTGTCGGTGCGGCCACTAAAACATTATCATCCGTATTATACAGAACAGTGAAGACTTGAGTTTGAACTGGATTAAAATGCTTAAAATCTTTATATAAAGCCTCATAAGAAGGATTTCTCAATGCAGTAACAGGCAGGGGCTGTAAATCCAATAGCTCAGTTGGTGGAGGGTACTTCTCTGGTAGAATAAGATGCCTGAAGGAGATGGGTAAAACAGTCTGTGATCCCAACCATTTATCTGAGACAACACGTATGAAATATTGAGGTGGCAATGGTTCATAAATCGGCACTGTGAAGTTCAAAGTGTGGTCCTCATCAACATACTGTTTCTTCAGCAAAAAGTACTCATGGTGAAGAATATACTCACCATCGTTATCCTCAATAATCACCCAAAATGGCTCCACATACCCATGAACCTTATCCTCCCATTGAAAATCTGGTGTTATTATAAGTTCAACCCTCAAGACAGTACGAGTAATTGGCTGAACATGGGCCGCAAGGTTTAGCTTAGGAAACTGGTGAATGAACCTGTGAAGTGTTCTTCCCATTTTAGGGAAACGAATCAGCTCTCCGATTTCCTGTGATGACAGGTCATAATATCTATCCCAGGCCAAATCTTTCTTCTCCAACTTCATAAGAATTTCATTTGGTATGCCGTTGAATTGCCGCAAGGGTGTCTGAACATTCCACATCCTCTTGGTAACCATTTTACACAAGTTTAAAGCCTTCTCAGCCAACTGTGCCCAACCTCTTTTCAAGACAATCTCAAATAGGGCTCGGATAAGACGTCCAGCACTCTGAGTTATGTACACCATGTCAGATGTCAATGAAAGCCCTTCAAGCTTTAACTGCGAGATATATGCTTGCAGCAAAACATTGATTTTTGCACTAGGCTCCTCCAAGCTTTCCTTTATTGGAATTGGAACACGGTCCAAAAGCTTAGCCAATTCCATCTTCTCATCTTGTCTGACTGTCACATACTTGAACTCTTCACTGAGTGAAAACAGCCTGCAGAGCTCTATATCCCCCATGGTTGGCTTCAAATGCTCATTATATGTAGAGATTGTTCCATGACTTATATAGTAGTAGCTAGCAATACGGCCCAAATCAGTCACTTGGAAGTAACCACTTTTTCTATCATACTTCACCAAATTATTCTTGTCCAAGATAACTGCAGCAGAATGGATCTGCCCAAAAAAGGGAAATTGAAAGAAAATAAATAACAAATACAAACACAGACTTCACAGTAAACTGAAACAACGAATTTTGATGATTCAAACAATAGTATGATATTGTCCGTTTATTTTTCATATCTCAATAAAAAATTTATTAGCCAATAATTTCTCTGGTTCAAAGAATTTGCATATTCTCACTCAAGAATCATGAATACTCAAACCAAATGCAGTAACCAACTATCAACAAAGAGTGGGCTTTAGAAATCATGGCAGAAATCCTATAAATAGATTAAATATAAATAATTTCACTCTAAACTCCCACGTAAAAGAAGAGTTAAATGCAGAGAAAGTAACAAGCTGCTCAACTAAACCAAATGTGCTTGCAAGACGACAAAGAAGAGTACAACAGCAGACTTAAAATTTTTAGTAACATGCTCGTTTTAAAAATAATGGTGTCTACTAAAAAGATGTATGCGTACCAAATCAGCCCTCCTCTCCTCCAAAGTTAAATCCTGTGAAAGAACATCAGCTGGCAATCCATAAAGTGTGGGATTCCTCAACATGCGAATATACAAATATGTATATCCAATCCAATTGCAGGCTTCTCTAGCATTCTGAACAGTTCCAAGAACGATTTCTGCATTCAACTGATCAGCCAGTTTAGACACAAACTGACTCTCAATAGGAAGCTGTTGATTCATCAATGAAAGGTAGTACTGAAGTTCACTGTGGCCAGTGATGATGATGCCTTCCCCATATGAATCATATTGAGGCCTTCCAGCACGTCCCAGCATCTGCATCACATCTAGAGGACTTAGCTCAGTCCATGCTCCTTTTTCTGGGCTGTAAATTTGGGTCCCTTTAATAATGACTGTATGAGCAGGCAAGTTCACACCCCAAGCAAGCGTTGCAGTTGATACCAACACTTGTACATGTCCATCTGCAAAGAGTTCTTCAACAATTTGACGATCAGTCCTTGCCAACCCAGCATGATGAATCGCAAAACCATAAGGCAGTAGATCCTTGAGATCATTGCTTTTAACCATATCTGTGTGACTCTGGAGAATCTCACGACTAGCAGCATCCTCTTTCAAGAATCTACTAAGTGTATCATTAGCAAGTGCAGTGTCTCGCACTGCACGAGCTGTTTTAGCAGTTTCCTTCCTTGAATGAACAAAAATAAGGACTTGATGCTTCCCAGCCACTGCCATTACCTTTTCATAACAAATATCATTCATCAACTGGAATCTCTGCAATGGCTTCTTCACAGTGATTCCAATATACTGTTGAGAAAGGGGGACAGGTCTGTAGCTATTGTCAAAATGAAAGAGTCCTTTTTCAAGATTAACCCGCAAAAATAATGCTACATCTTCAAAGTTTGGAAGTGTAGCTGACAGCCCGACCAACCGGATATGCTCTTTTGTGGTTTCAATTTGCCTAACAGTCCTGGCAACAATACTTTCAAGAACAGGTCCTCTATTATCATGAAGAAGATGAATCTCATCGATAATAAGAAGTTTCACCATCTGTGTGTATGTCCGATCTCCAGACTTCCTAGTAATAATATCCCATTTCTCTGGAGTTGTCACAATAATCTGAGTCTCCTCAATTTGTTGGCGAGTCAGTGTCTGATCTCCACTAAGCTCCCGCACAGTCACACCATATGCCTCTAAACGATGAGAAAGATTACCAACAACTTCAGCAACTAAAGCTTTCATGGGTGCCACATACACAATCTTGTAGTTGTTGTGGCTAATTGAACCATCAGAATCCATATTCAAGGCAAGTTGTTGCAGTATGGTGAGTACAGCAACATTAGTTTTCCCAGCCCCAGTAGGAGCACAGAGTAGGATGTTATCAGCGGAAAAAAGGGCAGTTTCATACACACTGCTCTGAACCCTGTTCAACTGTTGCATCCCTTTGAACGCTGGTTGGGCCCAGTCTGGCATCTCAGATATCTTTACCAGCCTCTCATTCGATTCCAATGGTTTTGCCTTCAGTGCTGGAACGTGGACTTCCTCATAACCCTTACTATGATGCCTGTAAGAACCCACAGGAAGATCACATTTTTTATTCGCCATCAAAAGACCACCCTGATCAAAAGCAAGACTGTCAAGATCAAGCAACTGGCGCTGACCCTTCAGCCAACCACCATCAGCATCTCTATCAGCAAGACCTCTCCTCTCCCTATCCCCATCTCCGCCACTATCATCCTTTAATCGACGAGCCTCTTCTCTAATATTCTTCTCCAAAATCTTCTGCCTCTCTTTTGCAGTTGCCCTAGTGGCATGCAACTGCTCAAGAATTGCTGCCAAATCCGGACCCAAGCTCATCATTTCCTCCTCAATTTTCTTCCTCTCTTCTTGGTCTTCAGCCCTAGTCAAGCGAGTGCACCATACAACCTTAAGCCGGTTCCGCAGAAGATATTTGATAAGGCTGAACTTATCGAACTGGAGATGCACCAATAGCTTGGTCTCAACCTCCCTGTCATCACCTTCGGCAAGAATCTTGAGCACCTCTTCAGCAAGCTTTTGACACTGTTGTGGATCAATTTGTTGATCATAAGCATGGGAGATCTTCCTCTGAAGCCAATAAGCATCAATGTCCTGGACATTTAGATTCATCCCCTCATTAGTCTCATGATTATCATCATCATCAATTCCACCACCCATCTGCATCGCCCCGGAGCCATTGTCCACCCCATCCTCATCATCATCATCATCATCCTGCACCATATCAAGATCACTTTCCTCTTCCTCATCTTCATTTTCTTCAAACTCAACCGCCACCCCCACATCATCATCAAGACCTTCATCCCCGTTCACAGCTGAACCCCCAGCTCCATCACCACCATCTTGATAATCCGTAATCAACTTCCCAATCGAAACAAGTTGATCAAAAACCTGGCCCGGGATCGGATTCAACAACTTCTCAATCTCCTTCTTCTTATCCGGATTCTTAATCCCCTCGTTCTTAAGCACAGCCAGAATCTCATCAGCCGCACCGCTAACAATATTAAGCGGCTGTCCACCCAACTGCTGCTGAATCAAACTCAACATAGCTTCGTAAGCAGCCCGAGTCTCCTTCGTTTTGGGCTGATAAACCCCTTCCTCCGTAACAGTCAAAACACTCTCCTCACGTAACTTACGCCTCTTACTCTGCCTAACTGGAACTGGCTCCGCAAGCGGATCACGCTCCTTCTTCTTCTTAGACTTCTTAAGTTTCTCATCCAGCTCCGGCGGCCTACCTTTATAAACACGGTCACCAAATGACCTAGGGTCAATTTTTCCCCAGAGAGATTCCGGCTCCCCTGTCGGCTCATGAGTATCACGAGGCCGAGAATCAGTTGTAAGAACTAAACTAGAATTCGCCCTATATTCATACTGCTTGAAACGAGCGTGTGCCTCGGCACCGCCTCCGAGATGGGCCATTAACACAGACTCAAATCAAACTCCGAAAACCCTAAAAATCAATTGAAAATAAATTTTAAAAAAAGCCAACTAGTTTTGAAAGTGGGAAATGGAAAGAGAAGGGAACACTTACAAACGACACGGCTGCAAGATTGAAACTTGGAGATTTTTCTGTTTTGTTCTGCTATTTTTACTGCATTTCGACACTGTTGGGATATATATACGAAGGTTTAGACCGAACCGACTCACTGTTGTAAGGCAGAGATTTTTTTAAGGGTTTTTCATCGGCTTGGGCCGATTTGATTTTTTCTTTATACCTTTCTTATTGGGCTTTTTATTTAGGTTTTCGGTTTAAGGGATTAAAGGCCTGATCTGTTGTGGGATATTTTAGGCAAAATTGATTCAATAGGTCAGGCAAGTAAAAAGTTGATGCATTAAGCCATCCTAAAATTAATTTGGGATCTATAACAAAAACTATAATGCATGGGGAATCCGTCATGCCCGCGTAACGATTTTATCCAAATAATATTTTTTTATTTAAACTCATCAAGTCGAAGTGACAAATTCTAAAAAAATATGATTTTTATTAGAGTTTCTCACGTTGGAGTGACAAGTTTCAAAAAAAAAATATTTTATTGAAACTCATCATACATACGTGACGAGTTCCAAGTCACTGAAGCAAATGTCGTAGATCCCAAATTAATTTTGGGATGACCTAATCAGATAATTTTTAATCATCCTGACCTATTGGGCCAATTTTGCCGATATTTTAAAGGGTGAGTTACTAGTTTAATGCCTAAACTATCAGTTTTTGTCAGTTTTAGTACATAAATTTTTAATTTTTTTCAAAACCAAACCTAATGTTTAATTTTTGTTTCATTGTGGTGCCCTCCTTTAAAAACTTAAAGCGTTTAGCTCCTAAACTGTCATTTTTTTCGTTTTAGTACCTAAACTTTTAATTTTTTTTTCAAAATTTAATGTTAAATTTTTTAACGGGCTACTAAAATGAAATAAAAATTAAACTTTATGTATAGTTTTAAAATTTTTGAAAGTTTAGGTATTAAAACGGATCAAAACTGATAATTTAGTTACTAAACATATAATTTAACCTATTTTAAAAGGATACTTTCGAATTAAGTGATTTTAGTAATCATTTGTTATTATTATATTTTCAAGTTTTAGATTTGAGAGATTATCAATCATTTGACAATAAATGCTTAAATACCTCTATAAATATTATGCCCGAACTATAAAAATAATAACTCTCTTTAACTATTGAAATTATTTAGTTATGCACGATCAGATAAATTTGAATTCACATTCACAATTTATTTGAATGATAAAATATTGCTTGATCAATAGTATCAATATATATTTTCCAAATTCAAGTTCTAATTTGATCTTAAAAAAGTTAAATTGAAAAAATAATAAAATCGGGTACCATTATATAATTAGCCGAAAATAAAAATTAAAATTATTACATGAAGTACTAAATTTAATTAGTTTTACAAGTTTGGAATCGAAAATGCATCTTACATAAATGTTTCATTTTTCCATTTGTACTCCTTGTATATACTGTCTTAAAGTTTCCCCGAAGAATCTGTTAGACTTAAAAAATTTGGTTTGGGGAAGGCGGTGAAATATAATTTTGAAAATAATTTGATTTTAGAGTTGCCACCAACCTTTAAGTTAGATAGATCGGAAACCTTAAAAGAAGAAAAAAGGTTTGCGCTTTACCAAAAATTCATTTTTTAAGAGTTCGAGAGCCGATTACGTATGAGGAAGGGTGAGCACTCCCACAACACCCAAGTTTTGGTGCCTAAACGATTATATGATGTTTAAATATTGAAAATTACAAACTCGGAAACAATATTTAAATTATGATCTTTTTATTCATTTGATTTTATTCAAAAAGTATCAATTCTTGGATAATTAATGCCCTTTTGTGTGAACAATATTCAGGAAAGTATTTCCTTTATAGTTAGGAGACTTTCCCATAGATTCCCCTCACAAAAGACATTATTTCGCAATTTTCGTAAAGATAAAATAACATAAAATAAAACAAAATAAAAGGAAAAAAAAGTTAATAAAAATAAATAAATGTAGAACAAAGAGAATTATCGAATACAAAATAAACATTTATGCGAAAAATCCTCGAAAATACACCTTCCCTTAGTTGGAAGATGTCTTCGTAGATTTTCCTCATAATAAAATTTCTCATTTTTTGTATATATAAAAAACATGGTGATTTAAAAAATAAGAGGGAAGTAATAATACCAATGTGCAAATAAATAGGCCTATAAATGAACTAAACGTTCAACGAACCGTTCATGAACCGTGCGGCGGGAAGTTCGTTTATGTATTAAATGAACGAACATGAACAAGATTTTGCGTTCGTTTAATTAAATGAACGAACATGAACAAAGGGCTTGTTCGTTCATTTACGTTCGTGAACGTTCGATTATATGTTCGTTCATTTATGTTCGTTCATTTATGTTCGAACAGATGACAAGTTGAATATGTTACGAAGATTATTGAAGTTGTTTGGATTTCAAGAAGATTGTTTTGTTGAACAAATTAACTTTAAGACTTTATTATGTTCATATAGCTTATTTATGATTTTATGTATGTTTTTGTCGTATTTGAACAAATTAACTCTAAAGTTGCAGGTTATATTAATGAAGTTTAAGTTGTTATTCTTGTTGTTTACCTTTTTTACATTCGGTTGTTGTGTTCGAATAAGTTTTTTTTTGTTGTTCGTTATGTTCGTTCGTTCGTGTTCGTTTATTATTTAAATGAACGAACATGAACAAGCTATATTCCTTAATGAACGAACATGAACAAAAAAAAATTTGTTCGCTTATTTATTAAATGAACGAATATGAACATACCTCCGTTCGTGTGCGTTCGGTTCGTTTACCGGCCTACAAATAAATAAAGGATCAAATTATAAAACATAAAAAATAGGAGCCAATAACAAAAAAAAATCAAATTTCACATATAGAGCATCAAGGATTAAAACAAACTGAAATAAAAATTACAGACCCTATTATGGAATAATTACAGAAATTAAAACTTAATGTTGGTCAAAACAGCAAGGACTAGCCTGGAAATAAAACCCAACTCAACACAAAGAAAAACTCAGTGACCAAAATGCATACATAATAAAGCATAAGACTTCAAAACCTAAATTACACCAATTTTAGTGCTGGCAAATACTAGGGACCAAATTGAAAACTGCATCAAATCAGCAGTAAAAATTATAAATGTTTAATGCATATAATAACATACATGAGGACTAAAATGACATGCGAAACAAATAAAGAAGTCGAAACAAAAGGAAAATAAAAGTTTCATTCATTGGTGAAAATAAAAGGCTTACAAACGAAAGGGACTAAATGTGATATTAACTCCTAAAGCCCAGAACACAGGATGAGTTTACAAAGCAATAAGGATCCACTATGGAATTAACCCAAAACTAAAAACACGCGGAACCCCTCTTATGCAAAACGGTGTCATTCTGATGCTAAAATATAACCCCTTTTAGGGTTCCATAAAACCCTCTTTATTCATTTCTTCACCCTATTCCCAGCCGTTCTTCCCCTTTTCTCTCTATCCTCTTCTCTTCGTGATACCCCCTCCCCGTCGAGCAAAGCAATCAAAGCCCAGGCCACCGTAAATCGGTGGCCACGGGTTAAAACAGTCGGTGAGAACCTCCTAAAACCCAACTCCTTACCACTGAGCCCCTAAATCCATCCCCAAAATCAACGAAAATCAAAACCTAGCTTCAAAGGTATGATCTTTACCTTCGGTTGTGGCTTTTAAGGCTCTGGTGAAGTTACCAAAGGTCGGATCTTCTCTAAAGGTTGCTCTATCTTATGTTCTTCCTTTTTTTCGGTTCGAAAATGAATAGTTTTCTTAGGTTTTTTCTCTCGATTTTTTTTATTGTTAAACAAAAATCTCTCGGTTCCTCTATTTTTTCTTTCTTATATGTACTTTTTTTCACCGAATCCCTATTCTCTCTATGGTTGCTTTGCTTATAATCCCCCTTGGTTGATGACTTGATGATATCTAGCAATATAGAATGGGTATTTCTGATTTTTGGGTAGGTTAAATCCCGTAAAAATCGGGATTTAGGTATTAAAAAATGAGTTTTTGATTTGCCATTGTTTCTACTGATTTGGGATGATTTGCTTTGTTGTAGATGATATTTTTCTTTACTGTGTGGCAGGTTGATGACGACGGCGGCTCGGGATGTCTCGGCGGCGGCTCACGCGCCGATCTGGAGGAGCGCATGCATCACACGTGCCGACGAGGGCTGTTCAACTTCACTGGCGGCAGCCGTTGATGATTTTAGGGTTTAAAACTCTAATTTGAATGGGTTCTCTTGTTGGGCTCGGGTCGGATTTGACCGGGTTTGGGTCAACAGCTGGGTCTTGGGAGATAGCTAGTGGGCTTGAATGTTGTAATTGGGCTTCTGTTGTAATCTATTTGGGCTTATAGTGGCCTGCAAAAGTTGTAAATTATATTTTCTCCACTTGACTCGATTCTGACCTGATTTTTTATGATAAAATTCAAACTTGATCTGACCTAAAATAACATATTTATTAAAAAAATTATTTAATAAAAATAATGATTTAATTAAAAAAATAATATAGAGAAATGTATTATTGTAATTATCCCTAAATATATAAGACAAAATTATATTTTTTTGGGTCGGATCAAATATTTTTTACTCTAAACTTGGATTCACCCTGAATCCAAAATTTTTGTTACAAAAGCCCGACCCAATCAATTTATATCGAGTCAAAACCTTTCGAGTTCGGGTTCCATATCCATTCCTAATTATTATATTATATATAATATTATATGAGTATTTTTTATACAGAACATATTTAGATCTTAAAATCTAAATCTAATTATGAACATCAAATTTTAAACTCTAAAATCATAAAAATTGAGGAAACCACTTGACATTTAAAAAAATCTTCACACAAAAAGTGTTCAAATTATATTGTTTTTTAAAGTATCATCTAAACTTTTTCGATCAATACAAACATTTAACGTTATAAACGTTATTATTTTAAGTGTTTTATTCATAACGACCGTTAAAATATTCCGTTAAGTGATACGCATCACATTTATATAATTTTAAATAAAGAATTAAATTATATATTTAAATAAAAACCATTTTGGCCGCAAATCCCAGCAAATACTAAATCCATTTGGGTGAATTTTGTGTTGGGATTAAATATCGACACTGTTGTTCATATCGAGAGGGAACATGGGCGAGGGCTTGGGAGGAGGAATTTGGAGGGGAGGAAACAAGTTGTAAAGGGGGAGAGGGAGGGAGAAAAATGGGAGGGAATTTTTTTTTTTTTTAAAAATAATATTTTTATTTTAAAATACGTAAATGACTTGAACTTCAGAGTTCAGTTTGCTGAAAATGTACATATATTTATAACCATTTCACAAAAGGCAATAGGATTACCCAAACTAAAACACAAGTTTTAGACTGAAAGATGAGTTCATAGGCCTAATGTTCCTACCGGTGCCGGATCGGAAAATTATTCTTCCGTTGTTGAGTTCCCGGCAGCACCTATATCAGTTAACACAACGGGACGTTTTCACTCCCGTGGTCGGGCGAGCCAGAGGGAACTTAGAGCCCGTAATCTCGAGAAATAATCATGTATAGCAAGCAGTGCTCGGGCCTACTGGCGGGTCGTCAATATCCGGTGAATTTGTTGTAGCGTTTGCTTCCGTAGATTGTCAGCCTGGTGATGTTGCAACTTATTAGAGAAAATTTATTTGCAAAAAGATAAAGGACGCCATTGATAGATCGACGAATGGCTGAAAAAACTTCCATATCAGACTTTCGGAACACGAAAGACCGGTTTTTGAATTCGCAATATTTACCAAAATCCTCCACAGCCCATAGTGTCTAGCATAAACTAGTATTAGCCTTCCAAGTTCGTATACAAAGTTTCATCTATTCATGCCAGCAGATACTAGTAAGTTATGTACATACGGTAAAAGTGGACGAAAAATAAAAACTACCTGACGGATAAAACCCTCGAGGGTCCCGAGCTTCCCCATGGCCATGGCCATCTGACCCATGTAGTTTGCCACATTCCCAGATGATCCTGACGACCCTAAAGATCCAGTCGACAATGTCTCGGCTAGAGACTGCTGCAACTCCTCCATCCCTTGAGATAATGCATCTTCAGCCTGTTGGGAGGATTGCTGCAAGTTGCCAATTCCAACCAGCTGTTGCTCTGTCAAAGGCTACAATTGGCTTACGAGAAGCTGCGAGAATAAACATCGAATTCAATGATGATGATGAGATATGCAGAAACCAATTACAAACTGAATATACATACATGGATATGATTCATGTATATACATCTCGATCCGAAAAGCAGAAAATTTTCAGCCAAAACTTAGATTAGGCTCCTTGTATCAAATATGATTCTAAAATCAGAACAGGAAATAAATCTATCATTTATTTAGCCTGATCTTACTTCATCTTCAATTAGCATTGATTCAAGATAAGGATATAATGATCCAACAAAAGTTATACCGTGGTCTTCAATACGATCTTTCATTTACGTCAACGGGAACTCATGTTTTAAACATAATCCCAGCAAATTGAAATATGAATCGCAACAGGATACTGTGTATAAACATAACATATAATCCATAAGTTATTTTCTACGTATTTTTCAGAAAGCATATTTTATCATAATCTTGATTTCAAGATATCCACAAGTTATTGCATAATTATTTTCTAAACCGAAATGGCTAATCCTAGTATACCTTACTGATCACCTAGTCGTTCGAGACGGAAACTCAGCCAATGTACAATACCCAATACAACCACACTCCACGAATTCAAAATGCATGTTTTTGTGATATAGGAGATGGCACTGGTTAGTTTGATATATGTATACTGACCTGTACTATTTAATTGACTGCATATCACTTATCAACTATGCTACTCAGACCCGGGTGTATAACTCCGATACAGGTAAGTGTCCGAGATAGGAATGATAAATTCTTTTCCTTGTATTTGGAGGGTTTTTGGAGTGCCATATCCTCATGCCGATGTCCGATATGTTCCGAACATGGGTGTCCGGTGTGAGTATTTCATAAACGTGAGAGGGAGATCGAAAAGGAGAGGACAAAGCTCTGGAAACGGAACAGGCGAGCCTTCACCAAACGTTTGCTGGCCGGATTGAGACAGCATGGTAATTTCCATCTCTTTGAGCGTTCTAATATGAACGATGTTCTGGTTGCCTTGGCCCGTGAGGCAGGTTGGATAGTTGAGGCTGACGGCTCTACTTACAGGAACTCACCTTCGCCCCAAAAACAGCAACAGTTTAGAGTTAATCCAACAAGGTCGGGTGAAAATCCTTTATCAACAGGGCGTTTGATAAATTGCTCTGTTAAAGCTACTCCAGACTGTCCAACTGTTGTTAGGACAGAAAACAACGGAATGTCTTCTTCTCAAGGAGGGAGACAAAAGATCGGAAAGAATTCTGTAGTACGGGCCACAACAGCTCGACCGACCGCTGATATTGATCTTGATGGTACCAAGGAGAGCACCACGATAGGGTACTCCTATGATAAGTTTTCCGATGTTACGAGAAGGAGAAGAAATGGGTTTCAAAATTGGTCGAAGGATGGTCATCCAAGAACCGGAAATGGGATCAGAAATGGTTGTTATACGATTTTTATAGAAAACCTTCCAGAGGCGATCCATTGGAAGAGACTTGGGTCTATTTTTGGCACACATGGGCGAGTTATTGATGCATTCATTCCTAAAAAAAGAAACTTGAAAGGGATCCGATTTGTGTTTATTCGCTATGCAACAATTGAAGAAACTATGATAGCGATTTCAAAGATGAATGGTAATTATATTTACGGTAGTAAAGTTAGAGTCTCTTGGGCTAAATATAATCCACGACAGTCTTTCTAGAGGAAGTCCTCCACTATTGTTCACAGTAAGTATGCGAGGGAAGATATTTCGAGGAATAAAATCTTTGAAGTTGAGGGCGTAGTGGACGAAGATAAACTACAAGTATTGAGCAATTGTCTTGTGGGGTGGTGCAAGACCTTTATCAAAATTGGTAATCTTGCTAACCAAATTCAAGCCAAAGGATTAGTTAGTTTCACGTTAATGAGAGCTGCTGGTAATGTAGTTCTCATGGTTTTTGAAGACTCTGATTTGTTGAGAAGGGTAAAGGATGAAAAGTTAGACGCTTGCAGAATGGTTTTCTAGAGTGGAAACTTGGTCTGAGAGCCTAGTGGTGGAGTGCCGGCGCGTATGGTTAGTTTGCGAAGGTATCTCTTTTTACGCTTGGAATTAGGATACTTTCAAAAACATTGCCACTAAATGGGGCAAATTAATAGCAATTGACAACAATTGTGAGTTTCCATCGTCTTTTGATAGGGCTAAAATTCAAATACTCAAATGATAAAGGGAGTATTGATGAGTCGTTGGAGTTGAAGGTTGGTGATATTTCATTTAATGACTTCTTGGTGCATGAAGTTGATCCTTCCTTCAAACCTAATTCATGGGTCCCTGAAGATTGCGATATTACATTAGAACTTGTTCCTCCTATTGGAACGTGTTGATTCGGCAACTGTTTTTCAGAGGTGTTTTTAGTTTGGGGTTGTAATTGTTGGTTTTTATTTTGCTTTGTTATCTTACATCTTGAGGTGTATTTTGAAATAGGGTTATTGTCTCAGGTCTTTTTGTTTGAAGATGTAAGATTTCTAGGTGATATGGTTTGTAATGGTGTATATTCCCGTATGAGGAATCGGTGTTACCACATGTACTTGGTTTACTATTTAATAAAATATGAGGCACTCTTTTCTTCCTTCCTATGTTCTTCAACATACTCCTACGTATATGGAAGAATACGAAGGGAGTTTTTAATGAGTCCTCCAACTTCTATAAAAAAAATAAGAAAACGAAGAGTCAGAGCAACATGGCCAGGTCTTAGAAAATGAACATGGTTCTGTGACTCCTACTTTTAGATTTTTGGATAAAGTAGCCATTCAAAGGACTCGGACTCCAACTCATACACAAATCTTTTCTGTTCATGCAAGATAGCTAGCATTCCGTTGCTTCAATGAACCACTCCGAAAAACAAGACTCGTACTACAGTCACTCGAAGAAAAGTTTACCAATAACGAGATTAAAAGACCGAACCATTACCATTTCCGCTCGTTGAATGACTTTGATCTCCAGAGCTTGATATGAAGATACCCTGTATGTTAGAGTAGCACGTGATTGAATAAAAAAATTAATAAACGGCATACACAGTCCGTGCAGTGATGGACCAAGTCAAACCTGCTGCCTTGCACGCTGAAGCTCCTGCTCCAGTTGTGTCAACTTCAAACGACTACTCTCCAGCTGTTGCACATATGCCTGTGGGAGAAAAATCGATAATGCGCCTCAATGTAGGAGATTCGATTTGATATCCATGTAAAATAAAGCGTACCAAATGATCTCAAGCAAGATGCATCAGATTTTG